CTTCCTGCGCTTGCCGACCCTGAGTCGGACTCTCTTCGTGCTGCCAGCCCTACTGTCACGCGTCTGCTTGCTACTGTCGTCACTGACCCCTCTTTTGAGTCCACTGCTGCGTCTGCTCTAGTCGCTGAGCTCGTCGACTTTGCTGCTCGCTGTCGTCTCGACTACGCTGCTAGTCTTGTTGCTGAGTCTGCGTTTGTCTGTCCTCCGTCCGTCGGGGGTGAGTGTGCTCTTGGCACGGACGTCCTAGAGGACAGGCAGGAGGAGTTACAGTGTCTAGCGGCTGCTTCACTTCATCTCGCGTCTGTTCTGCTTGCCCCTGAGGGAGACCCGGATGCACTAGACATCCCGACTCCGCGTTCTTACGCGGAGGCCGTAGAGGGTCCCTACTCCTCTCAGTGGCAGGCAGCTATGGATGCAGAGATGGCTTCCTGGAAGTCCACAGGCACCTACGTTGACGCGGTTCCCCCTCCTGGGGCGAACATCGTCAGTGGCATGTGGATCTTCAGGGTGAAGCGGCCGCCGGGCTCTCCACCTGTCTTCAAGGCACGGTACGTTGCTCGTGGCTTCAGTCAGCGGCAGGGAGTTGACTACTTTCAGACCTTCTCTCCCACCCCGAAGATGACTACTCTTCGGGTGCTGCTGCACATAGCCGCTCAGCGCGACTACGAGCTTCACTCTCTCGACTTCAGCACTGCGTTCTTGCAGGGTAGCCTGCACGAGGAGATCTGGCTTCGCCGTCTACCTGGCTTCACTGGGACTTTCCCTCCTGGCACCCAGTGGAGCCTCCGACGGCCAGTCTACGGTCTCCGCCAGGCACCGCGTGAGTGGCACGACACACTGAGGACTACGCTTGCGGCTCTTGGGTTTGCTCCTTCTACTGCTGACCCGTCGCTGTTTCTTCGCACCGACACTTCCCTGCCGCCGTTCTACATCCTCGTGTACGTCGACGACTTGGTCTTTGCCACAGCGGACACTGCTGGACTCGCCTACGTGAAGTCCGAGCTGCTGAAGAGACACACGTGCACAGACCTGGGTGAACTGCGCAGCTACCTTGGCTTGCAGATCACTCGGGACAGAGCACGCCGCACCATTACCTTGACTCAGTCACACATGGTGCAGCAGGTCCTTCAGCGCTTCGGCTTTACGTACTCCTCGCCTCAGGCCACTCCTCTGCCTACTCGCCACTCACTCTCAGCTCTGCCTTCGGATGAGTCCGTAGAGTCGAGTGGTCCGTATGCAGAGCTTGTTGGCTGCCTCATGTACCTGATGACCTGCACACGACCTGACCTTGCATACCCTCTGAGCATTCTTGCACGCTATGTTGCTCCTGGGAGACACAGACCGGAGCACATGGCTGCAGCGAAGAGGGTATTGCGCTACCTGTGCAGTACGTCGGGCATGGGGCTAGTGCTTGGAGGGCGGAGTCCAGTGGTCCTTACCGGCCACGCGGACGCTTCTTGGGCTGACGACCAGTCTACGCAGTGGTCGTCACAGGGTTACACCTTCAGCCTTGGTTCCGGCTCTGTCTCGTGGCGGTCTACTCGCTCGTCTTCAGTTCTCGGCTCCAGTTGTGAGGCTGAGATCTACGCCGGGGCCATGGCTGCACAGGAGCTTCGCTGGCTCACCTACCTGCTGACTGACCTTGGAGAGCCGCCTCGTTCTCCTCCAGTGCTGTACGTAGACAACAAGGCCATGCTGGCCTTGTGTCGAGAGCAGCGCTTGGAGCACAGAACGAAGCACATTGCTCTCCGCTACTTCCTTGCTCGTGAGCTGCAGCAGCGTGGTCAGTTGCGACTTGCGTACGTGGCCTCTGAGGCCAACACTGCTGATGTGTTCACCAAGGCACTCGCGCCTTGTGACCATCAGCGCTTTTGCACCCAGCTGGGTCTTGTACCTGTCTTGCCTCACTTGCTCTCCTCTTGACTTCACTTGTACTGTGACATATATATATACCTGCTCTTGCTTGTCTAGTTTTATATATATGTCTGTACTCCTGCATGTGAACTGGCCTCTGGCCCAGCTCTTGTGCTCGGACTGTGTGGTGACTTTGTGATCCACCCTGAGCTTGTTTTGCTTTGCTTTGCTTGACTGGTCTTGTGACCCCTTGTTCTCCCCCACTTAGCCTATGGGGGTGTGTCAGAGTATTATAGCTGATGCATGTTTGTAGGCTATAGTGGGGTAGCACATATGGGGTACAGAGTTTCTAGGGTTGTATTTGTACCCAATCTTTCCTTAGTCATTCATTCCTGTTCGCTTATTCTCACACGGTTCTCACTCAGTATTTTAAAAACTGCTTCAATGTCCTGTAGGTGCTGTGCTCTGTCGTGGTTGAATATTAAGATGTCGTCAAAGTACACGATGACGCACTTGTCTAAAAGCGGGTGGAAGGCTTAATTCATGGTTATTTGAAAAGTGGCGGGGGCGTTGGTCAGTCTGAAGGGCATGACGGTGTATTCGAAGGATCTGTAGCGTGTTCGGAAGGCTGTTTTCGGGCAGTCGGGTGGGTTGACTCGGATCTGGTGGTAGCGTCCTCGAAAGTCGATTTTCGAGAAAACCTGGGCTGTTGGCAGCTGGTCGATCAGTTCGTCGGCTCGCGAGATGGAGTAACATGATTTGATGGTAAACCTGCTCAGTGTGCGATAGTCGATGCTTATGCGAAAACCCTGTCAAAGATAGCAGGTAGAAAGATAGAACACGAAAGAGGGTTTGCACTAGCAGGCAGTTGAGTACATATAGGAAACCCTAAATTAGGCTGTACCCGGTATAGAGTACCACACTGCAGGCTAGACAAATACAACATTCTGGCACACCCCCATAGCCAAAGTGAGGTGTAATCAGCACAATAAGCAGGTAGAGCAATAGTTCACAATGATAAGCAAAGCTAGAGGCTATCACAGAGGGCAAGTGAGGAGGAGAGACTGTGGGGGGCGAGAAGATGGGAGGCGACGGCTGAAGCTGCAGACAGAGTGTAGCGGCTGGCTCAGTGGCTACCGAAGCAATGGCCCGGACTTCAGGAGTATCTGGCTCCGCGGCTACTCCGAGCGGCTGGAGCAACTGACCCACGGGCGACTGGCGACTACCGGAGATTGTAGCCTCCGGACTACTAGCGGTGCGGACGATAAGACGGCTGCCTCCTCTCAACCTCTCCCAGCTGTCCCACACCCCTTTCACACACCCTCTGATGTTCCCCTAGCACTCCTCACACGCCACCCCCCTAGTACCACTCCAACGACTCCCACACATCCACCCCCCCTCAGCGGTAGCTGCAGCAGTGGGAGACGGAGGAGGAGGAGGAGCAGGGGACGACACACATACCCGTCACCCCCACACTCGCCACCCCCAAACCCTAACACAGGCAGCACAGGGCGGGAGCGGGTGCACGCACGGCAAGGCAGGTGCGCGCGGGCCTGGCGCAGGCCATACGGGCCGCGCGCGGGCTGTACGAGTCGCGCGCGGGCCTAGCGCAGGCCGTACGGGCCGCGCGCGGGCCTGGCGCAGGCCATACGGGCCGCGCGCGAGCTGTACGGGCCACGCGCGGGCCTGGCGCAACAGTTCGTTCAGGCGGTCCTGCGTGAACGTCGTGACGTCGATATGCTCGGCCATTACGAAGGGCGTCGGCTCGTCTTAGTCTAGGCGTAGTCGTGGCTGCACGCGTTTACGAGAGAACGCGAGGACAGCGGCTCCTAAGGGCTAAGGTGCGTGAGTCCCTTCGAGTGAAAAATAAAAAGTTGATTTCTTGGGGTGCGGAGATGCGCGGTCCGAAAGAAAGTGGCTTGATAACAAGTGTTACGGGTGCAATGAATCGAGGTAGCGAGGATTGCACTAGGTGTCAAACGAGTACAAAATGTGAGCGAAGGCATGAGCAAACATTTATACGCAAAACATGCAAACCGTAACGCGGTGCGTGCGAGCTAGCTAGTGCTAGGCTGGCATCGAGGTTCGGGCTAGTCCCGAAGGGTAGGCTGACACAGTCAGCGGTGCGTGGTTTGGTGAAAAAGTGCGCGCAAAGTTGGCGAAGGCCCCGGCTGCTGCTGTACGCGATGTTGCAGGATGCGCTAAGGAATGTCACAAAATTGACAACCTCCCTCGCGCCACAATTTCGTTCGCTAGCACCCATCTCGCTTCGCATTTGGAACAGGCAGCATATTATTCTGGTTCTTGAGCTTGGGTTGTAGCTTTACGGTCGCGAAAATTACGGGCACGTTGCAGCCTGACCTTGACAGCCCAATTTAGAAACCTGGAACTACGTTAGACGCCTAGCGTCGTTCTGTTGTCGCCGTAATGTGTTGAGGAAGCCCGTAGTAGGAAGGCAGGAAAAGGTTGTTCGATTCTTGCGGGCAAGGGGCTAAACGCGGGTACTTGACACCGTTGCACTGTGGATCAACATAACCACAGTTCCTTAGCAAAACAAGCGGTAAACCATCGTCAGTCGCAGCAATTCCTGTTTCGCTATCGTCTCCTGCTGGTAAATCAAGCCTGCCAAACAAAAGGAGCAGAGGAGAGGCTTTTGTACGCGCCACAGTCGTTCTGGTCCTTTCTTATTGTATATGCAACGGTCTAACCTCAGCCTTTCTTCTTCTGTCTGCTGCCAACGGTGCTTGTTTAAAACACACGGTTGCTTAGCTTGCTGACATGGCCTAAATAGCGCACTGCTGACGTGTCACACTCCAGCTCTCGCCATGTCAGCAGCCAGCCGTCGCCGAAAGAGCATCAATGCGCTGGCGTCCCCCACTCGCGTGTCGACACGTCGGACAGCACGGACGGTCATTGACTTGGCGTGTGATGATACAGAAGACAGGGATGGGAGTCAGGAAAGGGAGGAGAAAGATGGTGTCCGCGACAATTGCGAGAAAAATGGAAACCGGGCGAAAAAGGGTAACACTGAGAGGGAAGCGGAAGGAACGGGGGAAGAGGATAGAAGGCAAGGAAAACGGTTGTCCAAGAACGGGCGTGGAGACAGGAGGGGAAGAGGTAGAGCACCGGGGAGAGGCGGGAGAAGGATGTTGGTAGGGAGAACTGGAAAGGACAGTGACTCTGACCGGGACCACCAGGGTGACAGAGGCGGTCTGGGTGACGACCAGGGGGACCAGGTTGACCGGGTTGACCTGGTTGACCAGGAGGAAAACCAGGGTGATAATAACGACCGGGTTGACCGGATTGACCTGGTTGATCAGGGCGACCGGGGTGATCGGAATGAAAGTGACGACTTCGAAGCTACAGGTGTCCAGGGGAGTCGAAGCGAAGCTATTGAGGTGGTAGACGATGACGTGGCACAAGGAGATGCTGACGTGGCACCCTTGGATCGTGTCCAGCCAGCAGACAGAACCAGGGATGACGTGGCAGCAGCGTCAGGGGTCATTGAATGGGCTCCGTCAAGCAAGGAGTACAAATACGCGAGGGGAATAGAGCCCCCCTCTCGCTGCAGATTCGTGCTGGGATTAGAGGCTCCTCACCCTCCTCACAACAGTGCTGTAGAATCGCCTGGAGGCTCTGAGGAAAGAGCTCTAGGGACTTGTGAGGGTATAGGGAAGAGCGAACCACGGAGCAGTGGCTCTGAAGCAGGGCTGAGCAGTGCTTGCGGTGAGGAGAGGGGTGAAAGTAGAAGCTCAATGGAAGCGGAAGAGGAGGGAGAGGTGGGAGAGGAGAGAGAGGAGGGGAAGGAGGGGGAGAAGAGGGAGGAGGATGAGGAGGAGGAGGCGGGAGAGAAGGGGGGGAAGAAGGGGAAGGAAGGGGAGAAGGGGGAGAAGGAAGGGAAGAAGGGAGAAGGAAGGAAGAAGGAGAAGGATGGTGATGTGAGAGGAGGTCGTGGCAGGCTTCATGAACATGAGGAGGTGAAAGATGGTGGTCCGGAAGGTGTCTGTAGGCTTAGTGAAGATGCTTGTATGGGGGATGGACGTAAAAAGGATGGGGCGAAGGGGAACCAGGTGGAGAGGGGAGGAGGTGTGGAGGGTGGTGGTCACGAGAGGCGTGGAGATGAGGGGGGTGGAAAGGAAGGGGGTGGAAAGGAGGGGGGTGGTGGCAAGCGGGGTGGTGGTGGTGTGGATGGTGGTGGTGTGGATGGTGGTGTTGGCGATGGGTGTAAGGACAGCTGGGCAGCTGATTCTGCTGCAGCAGGAGGGAGAGATGGAAAAGGGGAAGATGAGGACAGGGGAGACATGGAGGGGGGAGATGGGAATGGGGGAGAGAAAAGGGGCGATGGGAAGGCGGGAGATGAAGGGAGGAGGAATGGGAAGGGTGGTAAGGAGGGGCCACACGCTGCAGTGCATGAGGCAGGAACCACCACCCAGCAGCACTGTGCTCTTATCGAGCCTGCTAGTAATGAGAATGCTCTTCTCGACCCATCGACCAGTCAGCAACAAGGCACTGTTGCAGTGTCATCAGCGGTTGTGACTTGCAAAAAGGGTGCTATCCCACCATCAGCTCTTGAGACGTCTGAGAAGGGTGCTATCGTGGTGGCATCGTCCCCTGAAGGCCAGCATGCCACCTGTCACCCGCCTTCCCCCCGCCCGTTCGTCTTCACCAAGGACCAGTGCCAGCAGTGGCTGGACAGGTGAGGGCTGCACACGTGAGGGCTGCACACGTGAGGGCTGCACACGTGAGGGCTGCACACGTGAGGGCACTTGCAGCTAAGGTGCTTAGCCAACAGTATGGATCTCTTCCATCCCATGCCATCCCATGCCATCCCATGCCATCCCATGCCATCCCATGCCATCCCATGCCATCCCATGCCATCCCATGCCATCCCATGCCATCCCATCCCATGCCATGCCATCCCATCCCATCCCATCCCATCCCATCCCATCCCATCCCATCCCATCCCATCCCATCCCATCCCATCCCATCCCATTCATAAAGCGCACCGCGCCTTGCTTGAGCCACCCACGTCTTCCCCACCGGCTTGTGCACCCCTGTGCTCTGCTCTGCTCCGCCTTGGCAGGGTTGGAGGGCGAAGTGACTTCTGAGTCGACTCAAAAGTCATCCCACCCCATCCCATCCCAATCATTAGAGCTCACCATGCCTTCCACTACCCGTGTCCCCCACCGGCTTGTGCACCCCTGTGCTCTGCTCTGCTCCGCCTTGGCAGGGTTGAAGGGCGAACGTTCACGTACCCCACCAGGTATGTATGCTGTGGTGTGACAGTGATACAATGTGGGTGGGGTGGGTGGGGTGGGTGGGGTACGGTGCACAGTGGTACAGTCTAGGTATGTTGTCTCAAAGGTGTGGTGTGGTGTGACACGACACAGTGTGGTGCACATGTGTACTACAGTGGTACTATCTAGGTATAATGTGCGTGGTGTGTGAATGTGCGGTGCAGTTCGGTGCAAAGTGGTTCTGTCCGTGCATGCATACTTGCGACGGCAGGGCCGGTGGGTTGAGTGAAGTCAATCCTTCTACATCGCACCATCAGGCCCCTCCCACTCCCCTCTCTTCCTCAATCTATTGAACTACTTGTTTTATCTGTGATTCGTGAAAGCGTGCAGGCAGCAGCTGGGTGCGGTGGAGGTGAATGAAGCGTACCTGCAGCGGCTGGAGGCAACGGAATAAGTGGAGCCAAACCCTCTTCTCCCTGCTGTTACTCCCCTCATTGTCCCTTCCCTCCCTCCCACCCTCCTGTGCAGGCAGCAGCTGGGTGCGGTGGAGGTGAAGGCAGAGGGCTTGCAACGGCTGGGGGCGACGGAGTGGAGTGAAGTGAAGTCGGTCTGACCTTTTTCGTCCCTCCATCCCTCTCGTGCCTTCCATCCCTCCTCACCCTTGTCGACCCCCCTATCCGTGCAGGCAGCAGCTGGGTGCGGTGGAGGTGAAGGCAGCGGACTTGCAGCGGCTGCTGCCTGGGGAGTGTTTGAATGACACGGTCATCGACTTTTATGTCAAGTAGGTGTGTCATTGATTTGAGTTCAAGTGTGTGTGCTTTCGGCAGGTTCCCTCCCTGTTTCAGTAAGTAGGTAGGCTTGCACGTCTCAGTCTCAAATATGGTGTGCACGGGAGTTCTTTCGCGAGCCCATGGAGAAACTGGTTACAGCAATGTTCAAAATCAGTCACACCTGTCCCCACGTGTCAAATCATTAGGCTCTTGAACGTTTGTTGAGATCCAGTTATTGCACGTCGCCATGTGCCCTTGTCCAGGTTCATTGAACAGACGATGCTGCAGGAGCCACAGCGGTCGCGGTTCCATTTCTTCAGCACTTTTTTCTCCACCTCGCTCTCCCGCGCCCAGGAGCGATTTGTAAGTGGTGTGTTGTGCAGTCTGGTGGTGTGTTGTGCAGTCTGGTGGTGTGTTGTGCAGTCTGGTGGTGTGTTGTGCAGTCTGGTGGTGTGTTGTGCGGTCTGGTGGTGTGTTGTGCAGTCTGGTGGTGTGTTGTGCAGTCTGGTGGTGTGTTGTGCAGTCTGGTGGTGTGTTGTGCAGTCTGGTGGTGTGTTGTGCAGTCTGGTGGTGTGTTGTGCAGTCTGGTGGTGTGTTGTGCGGTCTGGTGGTGTGTTGTGCGGTCTGGTGGTGTGTTGTGCGGTCTGGTGGTGTGTTGTGCGGTCTGGTGGTGTGTTGTGCGGTCTGGTGGTGTGTTGTGCGGTCTGGTGGTGTGTTGTGCGGTCTGGTGGTGTGTTGTGCGGTCTGGTGGTGTGTTGTGCGGTCTGGTGGTGTGTTGTGCGGTCTGGTGGTGTGTTGTGCGGTCTGGTGGTGTGTTGTGCGGTCTGGTGGTGTGTTGTGCGGTCTGGTGGTGTGTTGTGCAGTCTGGTGGTGTGTTGTGCAGTCTGGTGGTGTGTTGTGCGGTGCAGTGCTCCAGGGGAGCCGCATCGGTCGCGACTCCACTTCTTCAGCACCTTCTTCTCCACCTCGCTTTTCCATGCCCAGGAGCGATTCGTCGTGAGTGTCCCTCTGCTGTGCTGTTGTGGGCAGTGCTGTGCTCTACTCTGCTGTGCGGTGCTGTGCTCCAGCGGAGCCAGCCACAGTGGTCTCAGTTTTTTTTAATCTCTTCAGCACTTTCTTCTCCACCTCGCTTTTCAGCGCCCAAGAGCGATTCGTGAGTGCCCCTCCTGCTGTGTGGCTTCTCTCGGTGCTATGGGTTGCTGTGCTGTTTTGTGCTGTTCTCTCCTGTCCCTGCCATGCCGTGCCGTTGCTTGCAGTGTGGTGTGGTGCAGTGCAGTGCGGTGCTGTGTTGTGCTGTGGAGTTCCCCACGCCCCCATCCCTCTCCCTTCCCCCTTACGCCAGAAGCTGACTAAGGAGCCGCACGATTTGCACCATTTCCCCGCTCGCCAACCTTCCCCCCACCCCTCCCCTCTCCCCACTTTACCCCCCGCCAGAAGCTGACTCAGGACCCACACGAGCTGATGCGCCTGGCAAGGTGCCCTTCCGCCCGCCCTTCAACCAACCCCCCCCGCCCCCCCCCCCCCTCCTCCCCCCCCCCCCCCCCCCCGTGCTCTCCCCATCCCACCCCTCCCCTCTCCCCACTTTACCCCTCGCCAGAAGCTGACTCAGGACCCGCACGAGCTGATGCGCCTGACAAGGTGGACGAGGGGCACGGACATATTCTCAAAGGATTTCATCGTCATCCCCTTCCACGAAGAGTACGCCCCCCTGTTGCTCTCGCCATCTTTGGCCTCTCTGCCCGCGTCTGCCCGTCTCTGCCTGCCTTAGCCCATCCCTTCCCCTCTCTTGTCGTTGTCGGCAAGGACGTGAGGAAGGCGCACCTCTCTACCCGCATGCCCTTACGCACGCCCGCTCCCCACTTGATCCCCAATAACCTTTCAATCCCTCAGGTTTCGCAGCCATTGGAGCCTGGCTATCATATGCTTTCTCAGCAAGGATGTGAGGAAGACCACACGAAAGGCTCCAGGAGAAAGCAGCAAGGGGCCAGGTGAAAACAACAAGGGCTCAGGAGATAACGGCAAAGAGCCAGGCGGTTCAGGAGAAAACAGCAGAGAAACGCGAGGAGCGGCTAGGCTAAGGGAAGAGGGCACGGGGGGCAATAGGAAGGGGAGGGGCAATGGGGGAAGAGGGGGGAGAGGGGCAAAGGGGGCATCGGGGGTAATGGGAGTGTGGGGAGGGGGAGGGGGAAGGTGGGCGCTTTCCAGAAGATTCCTAAAGGAAGGAGGGCGAATCTGAAGAGAAGCAGGGCGGACATGAAAGGAAGGGGGGTGAGTATGCAAGGAAGAGGGTGGCTTGGGCAAAGCAGGGAAGTGAGAGCATTATTGGAAGGTGGGAGAAGGAGTGCGGCTAGTGAGAGAGGTGCTGACGTGGCAGAGGAGGGTCAGGAGGGTGGCAATAAGGGCGATGGGAAGGGGAGAGACAGCACTGCTGGCAGAGTGAGGAGGCTTGCTGACGTGGCAGAAGTTGCAGTGTCGGTGGAGGGAGGAGAGGAGGAGGAGGAGGAGGAGGAGGAGGAGGAGGAGGAGGAGGAGGAGGAGGAGGAGGAGGAGGAGGAGGAGGAGGAGGAGGAGGAGGAGGAGGAGGAGGAAGGGAAGGGCGAAGGTGGAAGGGAGGGGTTTGGGGAGGAGGAGGGGTCTGGGAAGGAGAGGCGAGGGGAGGGAGGGAAAAGTGCGAGAGTTGCGAGTGTGAGCCAGTTGGTCAACCACCATCCTGGTGATTCTGACAGGGGAAGTCAAGAGAGAGTCACTACCAGGGGTACCAAGCAGTTTGCTGGTAATAGTCCTCACCGTGTGAGGGTGTTGAACCAGGATGTTAATATTCCTGGTGAGAGGGTGTTGAGTGTGCAGGGCGGTGATCTTTTGAGACGTCTCAAAACTCGTCACCGTGAGAGGGTGTTGAGCCAGGATGTGGAACCAGGTGTGAATGGTTCCGGTGAGAGGGTGTTGAGTGTGCAGGGCGGTGATCTTCCCAGTCCCAAGGTGCGTGGTGGCAGGTCGTTTGTGAAACGCAGGCGGTTGGATGCGGTTGATAGGGATGGTGCGATGCGTGATGGGTCCGGGGATAGCGCAGTGGGCTTGGGCGGCATGGGTGGCGTGGGTGGTGTGGGTGGTGTGGGTGGTGTGGGTGGTGTGGGTGGTGTGGGTGGTGTGGGTGGTATAGGTGATGGTATGGTGTGGGGTGTGAGGAAGCAGCTGCAAACACGCAGCAGGGCGAGGGGTAAGGCGAGAGGAGGAGCGCCAAGGGAGGATGAGGGGGAGAAGGAGAAGGAGGAGGGGGAGAAGGAGGAGGAGGGGGAGAAGGAGAAGGAGGAGGGGGAGAAGGAGGAGGGGGGGAAGGAGGAGGAGGGGGAGAAGGAGAAGGAGGAGGGGGAGAAGGAGGAGGAGGGGGAGAAGGAGGAGGAGGAGGAGGAGGAGGAGGAGGAGGAGGAGTGGGAGAAGGAGGAGGAGGGGGAGAAGGAGGAGGAGGAGGAGAAGGAGGAGAAGGAGGGGATTGGTGGTGGTGCAAAGGGGGTGATAGACGTTGGTGGGAGCAGAGGAGTGGAAAGGCGTGGAGGGGCTGGTGATAGTGTGGCGGGTCGAGAGGGCGGAGGAGAGAGTGGAGGAGGGGGTGGAGGAGGGGGTGGAGGAGAGAGTGGAGGAGAGGGTGGAGGAGAGGGTGGAGGAGGGGAAATGGGGGATGTGGAAGGGAGGTGTGCAGGGGTGGTTAGTGTGGTTGGAGAAGGGTGTGCGAAGGAGGGGGGAGTGAAGGAGGAAGGTAATGAGGAAAGGGAGGAAGCGGAGGAGGGACGGAAAGAGGGAGAGAAGGAGGAAGGGAAGGAGGGAAGAAAGGAGGGAGGGAAGAAGGGAGGGAAGGAGGGAGGGAAGGAGGGAGGGAAGGAGGGAGGGAAGGAGGGAGGGAAGGAGGGAGGGAAGGAGGGAGGGTTGCAGGAGCATGTGGGGGTGGGAATTAGAAGTGAGGGTGGGGGGATGGTAAAGGAAGGCATGAGGCTTGAGCGGGACGATGTGAGGGGAGTGTGGAGGCTTGGTGGTGGCGAGAAAGAGGCAAGAAAGAGTTTGGATAGGCAAGTGGAAGGAGGCAAAGCCGGGGAGGAGAGGGGAGTGGTAGGAGGGGAGGGTGGTGGGGAGGGAGAGGGGTTTAAAGATGAAGCGAGAGAGGAGGGGGTTGCTGGAGAGAAGGGAAGTCTAGGAGAGGAAGGAGGTGCAGGAACGGAGGAAGCTGTAGGAGAGGAGGGAGAAGGTACCGGAGTGGACAAAGGCTGCAGTTCTAAAGAGGAAACTATTGGAGGGGCGGACAGCAAAGAAGGGGGGCGAAGGGGGGAACGAGGGGAAATGATTACAAGGGATGATTGGAAGAAAGGGGTAGAAGGGGAGGGAGGGGTGAGTGGGGGGGAGGAGGTTGGGATGGTTGAAGGAGAGGTAAGGAGTGGCGATGGGGAAGATCAAGTCCAGGGAGTTGTGGTTGTAGAGGAGGGGAGAGGAGAGGGGAAAGGGGAAGTGGGAGTGTTGGGGGATGAGGAGGAGGAAGGAGAGAAGGAGGAATTGGAGGGGGGAAAGGAGGGGGGAGAGGAAGGGGGAGGAGGGGCGAGAGAGGAGCGGAGAGAGGAAGGGGGGGGAGAGGCGAGAGAGGAGGGGAGAGAGAAGAGGAGAGAGGAGGGACGAGAGGAGGGGAGAGAGGAGGGGCTAGAGGAAGGGAGTGAGGTGAAATATGGAAAAGAGGAGGAGGAATCCGAGAAGATGGAAGGGAATGAGGAAGGTGGAGAGGAAGAAAATGTGGGGGTTAAGGAGGAAGAGAATGAGGTGATGAAATTGGTGAGGGTTGAGGAGAGAAAAGAGGAGAGGAAAGAGGAGATGGAAGAGGAGAGAAAAGTGGAAGGTGGAGAGAAAGAGAAAGTGTGGGAGAAAGAGGAAGAGAAAGAGGAGAGGAAAGGGGAGAGGAAAGGGGAGAGGAAAGGGGAGAGGAAAGGGGAGAGGAAAGGGGAGAGGAAAGGGGAGAGGAAAGGGGAGAGGAAAGGGGAGAGGAAAGGGGAGAGGAAAGGGGAGAGGAAAGGGGAGAGGAAAGGGGAGATGACAGAAGAGGGGAAAGGGGACAGGGAAGAAGAGAAGGAAGAGGAGGTGAAAGAGGAGAGGGAAGACGAGAGGAAAGAGGAGAGGAAAGAGGAGAGGAAAGAGGAAAGGAAAGAGGAGAGGAAAGAGGAGAGGAAAGAGGAGAGGAAAGAGGAGACGAAAGAGAGGAAAGAGGAGAAGAAAGAAGAGATGAAAGAGGAGAGCAAAGAAGAAATTAAAGAGGAAAGGAAAGAGGAAAGGGAAGCAGAGAGGGAAGAGGAGATGAAAGAGGTGAAAGGGTGGAGGAAAAAAGAGAGCAAAGAAGAGAGCAAAGAGGAGAGGAAAGAGGAGAGCAAAGAGGAGAGCAAAGAGGAGAGGAAAGAGGAGAGCAAAGAGGAGAGGAAAGAGGAGAGGAAAGGGGAGAGGAAAGGGGAGAGGAAAGGGGAGATGACAGAAGAGGGGAAAGGGGACAGGGAAGAAGAGAAGGAAGAGGAGGTGAAAGAGGAGAGGGAAGACGAGAGGAAAGAGGAGAGGAAAGAGGAGAGGAAAGAGGAGAGGAAAGAGGAGAGGAAAGAGGAGAGGAAAGAGGAGAGGAAAGAGGAGAGGAAAGAGGAGAGGAAAGAGGAGAGGAAAGAGGAGACGAATGAGAGGAAAGAGGAGAAGAAAGAAGAGATGAAAGAGGAGAGGAAAGAAGAAATTAAAGAGGAAAGGAAAGAAGAAAGGGAAGCAGAGAGGGAAGAGGAGATGGAAGAGGTGAAAGGGTGGAGGAAAAAAGAGAGCAAAGAAGAGAGCAAAGAGGAGAGGAAAGAGGAGAGCAAAGAGGAGAGCAAAGAGGAGAGGAAAGAGGAGAGCAAAGAGGAGAGGAAAGAGGAGAGCAAAGAGGAGAACAAAGAGGAGAGGAGAGAGGAGAGCAAAATGGAGAGGAGAGAGGAGAGCAAAGAGGAGAGGAGAGAGGAGAGTGGGGTCGAAGAGGGGGCAGTCTTGGCTAGAATGTTGGTCAATCATGAAGGGACGGCTGTAGCAGATGCTGCTGCTGTACCTCCAATCGCTGTTGTAGCAACAATGCTGTCTCCATTGGAACAAGCTCTGTCTGCTACAACTGCTGCTGCAGTCTCGCCTGCCACAGCTACTCCAGCTATAGCTTCACCTGCTGCTACTGCTCCTGCTCCTGCTACAGCTGCACCTGCTACAGCTGCACCTGCTACAGCTGCACCTGCTACAGCTGCACCTGCTACAGCTGCACCTGCTACAGTCGCTCCAGCTACAGTCGCACCTGCTACAGTCGCACCTGCTACAACTGTCCCTATTATAGCTGTGCCTTTTTCAGTCGCAGCTGCTACAACCTCCTGTGCTACAGCTGTTACAACTGCAGCAGGTACAGGTGCAGCTGGAAACGGCATGTCTGCTATGCAGCTGCTGATGGGAGCAGCACGGAATGGCCCTCAGGCTGTGAGCAAGGCAGGTGCACGTGCACACATTGTTGAGATCGCTCATGAGGGCACTAAGGAGGGGACTCGTGAGGGCAGTCGCGAAATGACTCGTGAGGGCGTTGGTGCTGCTTCTATTGCTGTGGTTCTTTGGGAGAAGTGTGAAGTGGGGCACGGCAGTGAGGGCGGAAAGTCGGTGGTGTTTGAGTCCAGCCCAGAGGTGTGTAGAGAGGTGGGGAGTGGTGCGAATGGGAGTGGTCCTGGGGAGATAAGGGAAGAGGAGATGGGGGATGGGAAAGATGGGAAGGGTGGGCAAGAAGCGAGGGGGATTGAGGAAGGAGGGAATAAGGAAGGGGAACAAGATGGAAGGTCTGGGAAAGAGAGAGAAGGCGAGGAGGGGCAGGTTGAACTGGGGGAGGCGGTATCTGATATTAGTGAGGGCCTTGGGGGTGCTTATATGGGGTATGGGGAGGGAGATGAGGGGACGTGTGAGGGGAAAAGGGCAGAGGATGAGAGAGAGGAAGCTGGAGTAGTGGTTTATGTGAGTCCAGGGAAAGAGGAAGGAGAGGAGGGAGAAGATGAGATATTGGAGGGAGAGGAAGAGGGGAAGGAGGGGGAGGAGGGAGAGGAGGGAGAGGAGGGAGAGGAAGGAGAGGAGGAGGGAGAGGAGGGAGAGGAAGGGGAGGAGGAGGGAGAGGAGGGAGAGGAAGGAGAAGAGGAGGGGGAGGAGGGAGAGGAAGGAGAGGAAGGAGAGGAGGGAGAGGAGGGAGAGGAGGAAGAGGAGGAAGAGGTAGGGGAGGAGGGAGAGGAAGAATCAGAGGAGGGAGAAGAGGATGGAGAGAGGGATGGAGGGGAAGAGATAGAAGATATCCAGGAGGAGGGGGGGGAGGAAGTGGGGGAGGAAGGCGAGGAGGAAAATCTGGAGAAGGAGGCTGAAGAGGATGGTTCAGGTGGTGGGCAAGTGAGGGAAATCAAGAGCTGGATTCCTGGATTGGATAATTCTGGTGCTGCTGGTGATGATGATGGTGATGCTGTTGATGCTGATGGTGATGATGATGTGAAGGAAATAGGTTTCAAAACATTTCGGGGAGGCAGGGGCAGCGCACGCGGCAGGGGGCGGGCGGGAACGGCAGCGCAAACGAGACGCGGAGGAAGGAGGGGGGTTCAGGTGCGGGGCAAAGGGAAGGGAAAGCAACAGAGGGGCACAAGGGGAGGGCAGATGAAGTGGAGTATAGAGGAGGAGGAAGAGGAGGAGGAAGATGAGGAGGGGGGGTCACGTGAAGGGGGGTTGGAGCTGGTGACGGGGCCAAACGGAACGCGGGAGGCCACCATTCTGTACCTTGACTCGCTTCCAGAAAGCTCCAAGTCGCCTGCCATCTACAGCGCAATCAAGTTGTGAGTTTCATATACACGAATTAAAATATATATGTATATCTATATGTATGTATATATATACACATATATATACATACATATATATATACATAAGAAATATATATGTATGTATAGGTATATACTATCTTCTGTGCTCTTGCTCCTGGTCTGCCTTTCCATCTGCCTTCCCATCTGTGCATGCCTTCACCAGATACATGAGGGCGAGATCGTTTTTTCTTCTGTTTTATTCAATTCGATCCTTGTGTACACGAAGGAAGTGATGGTACATCTGTTCTGAGTGAGGCGAGGAGATGGTACGTACATCTGTTCTGTTGGCTTCTTCATGTACCATCTCTCCTTTCCCCTGCATCTCTTTCATTCCCCGTCCCCCCCCCCAGTTACCTGCAGGCTGAGTGGATGAAGAGGAGCAAGGAGCCGTTGGATCCCAAGAAGCCGCTGCAATCTGGGCCGTTCAGCAAAGTGCGCGGGAAGAAAGTCAAGGTGGGTCGCTCCTGCTTCACTCGTTGCTTCTGGGAATCTCCTGAAGCACAGCCATGTGTGCACGCAGCTATGTGCTTGCAGCAGCAGGTGCATGCGTCTACTGCTCTCCTCATGGATTGCAGGGTTTTGAGACGTCACTGAAAACTCGATTGCAGGGTCGCCCTCACCTCACTGAACCCATCCATCTCCCACACCACACTCACTCCCTCGTGTAGAGAGTGATTGTTTTAGAAGTTTCAAAATTTCACTCTTTACACATTGCTGGGTCGCCCTCACTGAACCCATCCATCTCCCACACCACACTCACTCCCTTGCGCTGCTTGCCTCGCCTTGCTCCCTTCTCTCTGCTCTGCACCCAATTTCTCTCTGCTCAGGTACCAGTGCAGGACAACGACTATGACTGCAACTGAGTTGACTCCTCTCACCGTGCTTCCCTCGGCCTCCTCCCTTCTCTCTTCTCTGCTCCTTATTTCTCTGTCCAGGTGCCAGCACAGGACAACGACTATGACTGCGGTTGTTTCATCCTCTGCTACATTCAGAAGTTTGCTCAGATGGCTGCTGCTCTCCCACGCTCTGCTGATGGCGTCGCAGATAAGGTGGGCCATCTCCAACCGTCACAAACCCTCTGAAACCGTCACAAACCGTCTTAAACCGTCACAGACCGTCTTAAACCGTCACAGACCGTCTTATACCGTCACAAACCGTCTTGTACTGTCACTACCCTCTTAAAACGTCACAGACCATCTGTACCGTCACAGACCGTCTTAAACCGTCACAGACTGTCTTATACCGTCACAGACTGTCTTATACCATCACAGACCGTCTTATACCGTCGCAGACCGTCTTATACCGTCGCAGACCGTCTTATACCGTTACAAACCATCCCTTCAGCCTCTCTGAGTCCAGCTGGCATGCATCCTTCCTTCCCCCGTACCCCCTTTTTCCCCTCCCCTCCCGCCACCAGCTGAGCAACGACTGGTTCGAGGCGTGTGAAGCATCCTCTCTGCGCCGACGGCTCTTCTCCATCGTGGCCGGCATGCTGCTGCCTCAACATCCCCCGCCGCAACCCCTCTCACCCCCTTCTCAACCACTCTCAACCCCTTCTCAACCCATCGCACCACCTTCTGAACCGATCTCCCTTCCTTCACCTGCCTCGCCGGCCCTGCCCATCTCTCTGCCTCCACCTGCCTCCGTTCCGTCTCCTGCTCTTCCACCTGCTATTTGTGCCGTTGCGGCTAGTGCACTGAAACCCACCACAGCAGCAGCGGCACGAGCAGCAACAGCCGCAGCAGCGGAAGCAGCAGCAGCTGGAGCAACAGCAGCAGCAGCAGCAGCAGCAGAAGAAGAACAAGAAGCAACAGCGGCTGGAACAGCAGAGAAAGAAGCAGAAGCAGAGCAAACAGCAACAGCAACAGCAGCAAAAGAATCATCAGCGGGAGCAGCAGGGAAGGAAGCAGCAGCAGCAGGTGCAGCCATCAAGGCGAAGAGGGGCAGAGGCAGACCGCGCAAGCAAGTGGAGGAGGACACAGTCAGCCCCGTTGATGCACTTTTTGCTGATGTGTGCACTATTGAGTCTACTCAAAAGGTGACTGTTGAGTCAACTCAAAAGCAAGTGGAGGAGGACGCAGTTAGCCCTGCTGATGCACATTCCGCTGATGTGGGTACAGCTGGTGCAGGTGTTACTGCCGCATCTGATGCTGATGATGCTGGTGCCAACTGGATGGCTCGTCCAGAGTCCATACAAGAAGCAGATGTGGGTGCAGCTGGTGAAGGTACAGCTGGTGAAGGTACATCTGGTGAAGGTACAGCCGGTGCCGAGGCTGGGACTGAGGCTGGGACTGAGGCTGGGACTGAGGCTGGGACTGACGCTGCGGCTGAGACTGAGGCTAGGGCCAAGGCTGAGGCTGGGGCCGAGGCAGTGGCTGGGGCCACTGGCGGTACAGTTGGGCTGGATGCTGCGTGCAGAGAGCAGTATGCTGCTCGCATGGCAGGGAATATGGAGCAAGTTGACACCCAAGGTGACAATCAAGGCGACACCCAATTTGACACCCGAAATGGCACCAGAGGTGGCACTGAAGGCGACACCCAAGGCGGCAGCAGAGAGAGCGGTGAAGCGCTGGTGGTGTTTGGCAAGGAGCCGTGGCCTGCTTGGCCCTGGCGTGCTTCTGAGCCCGTGGGTCACACTAGGCTCTCGTCCCTCTGGCCATGGCGTGCCTCTGAGCTTTCTACATGCCACGGGACTCACTCCCTGCTGCGCTGGCCTGTCATGTCTGTAGATTCTGGTGGTGGTGCCTGTGATGGTGCTGCTGCTAGTGGTGGAGGTGCTTATGTTTGTGCTGCTGGTGGTGATGGTGACTATGATGGTCGTGCTTTTGCGCCGCCGGATGTGCAAGAATCGGCGCCAGTGCTGGTTGCAGTCGTTTGGCAACCGGTGGACGACACGAGTCAACATCCACATGAAAGGAGTGCTGGCGGGGAGGGTGTTACACAACCTTTCAGGAGCGTCAAAGGTCAACATCCACATGAAAAGAGTGCAGGCGGGGAGAGTGTGACACAGCCAGGTGTAGGGAGGGATGCTGATGGGTTGGCAGGAGTTGCGGTGGAGGGGAAAGAGCGAGATGGAGCGGAAGGGGCTGAGATAGCTGGCGCGGAAAGGGATGGGACAGAAGCGGTAAAGGAGGGGGAGGAAGAAGAGTTGGTGAGGGGAAGAGCACGAGGGGGGACGAAGCGGAAGCGAGTGAAACGCAGTGCTGGGTGGAGTGGGAGGAAGAGGGTTAGGAGGGCGGTGAAGGGGCCTGAGGGTGATGGGAAGAGGAAGCAGGCTGAGGAGGAGGAGAGGAGAGAGGACGAGGGGGAGGAAAGGAGAGAGGAGGATGGAGAGGAGAGGAGGAGAGAGGAGGAGAGGGGAATGAAAGTGCGTGTGGTAGGAGGTATGGGAGAGGGAGAGGAGGGAGAGGAGGGAGGGGAGGGAGGAGAGCGGAGGGAGAGGGACAGGGATGGGAGGGGAAGGTGGGTGCTGATAAGGCTTGCAGCATCGGAAGAGGTGATTCGAGTGGGGAGGGGGGTAGAGGACGAGGACAGAGAGGTGGATATTGGTGGGATGGGGGATGAAGATGAGGAGGGGCTGGGAGGGGCTGGGAGCGAGGGAGAGGAGGGGCATGGAGTGGGTGTAGAGAGATGTTTGGAGGGAGGTGTGGAGGGAGGCGCAGGGGTGGCGAGAGGCATTACAGCAGAGGAGATTGAAGCAGCAGCAGGAGCAGCAGTGGCAGCAGCGGCGGCGGCGGCAGCAGTGGTTTCCATGGGAGAGTTTGTGAAGCAAGCACGTGCTGCTGCTGCTGCTGCCGCCGCCGCCGCCGCCGCCGCTGCCGCTGCTGCTGTTTCTCCTGCTGCTGCTGCTGCTGCTGCCGCTGCCACTGGTGTGAAGGAGGAGAGGCAGCAGGAAGAGAAAGCAGCAGCAGAAACGAGAGGGGCTGGGGCACTGCCTTGGACTGGCATGGGAGTCACTGTTCAGGAATCCAAATCTGAGACGTTTCCGAAGCTCGAATCAGGCTCGGAACCGGACCAGCTGCTCAGCTTCGGCTCTGGCGAAGCTGAGTTGGATCGGCTGGTGAAGTTTGGGTTTCCGAGAGCGCCACAGGGACAGCAACGGCGGCTGGCGGGATTTGCTGATCTGTTGAAGTGGAATGGAGGGAGCGGTGGTGCGGAGGCGATGGAGGAAGGTAGAGGGGTTAGGTGCGGTGCGGAGGAGGGGGTGTGGCGGCAGTGGGTTGAGAGGTGGAAGGAGGGGAGAGGGGATGGGAGCAGCAGAGCGGGGGAGAGGATGGTTGGGACGAGGGTGGGAGGAGAAGGGATGGGAGGAGAAGAGGTGGGGGGAGAGCGGGTGGGAGGAGACGAGGCAGAAGGAGCAGAGACAGGAGGGGTAGAGGCAGGAGGGGTAGAGGCAGGAGGGGTAGAGGCAGGAGGGGTAGAGGCAGGAGGGGTAGAGGCAGGAGGGGTAGAGGCAGGAGGGGTAGAGGCAGGAGGGGTAGAGGCAGGAGGGGTAGAGGCAGGAGGGGTAGAGGCAGGAGGGGTAGAGGCAGGAGGGGTAGAGGCAGGAGGGGTAGAGGCAGGAGGGGTAGAGGCAGGAGGGGTAGAGGCAGGAGGGGTAGAGGCAGGAGGGGTAGAGGCAGGAGGGGTAGAGGCAGGAGGGGTAGAGGCAGGAGGGGTAGAGGCAGGAGGGGTAGAGGCAGGAGGGGTAGAGGCAGGAGGGGTAGAGGCAGGAGGGGTAGAGGCAGGAGGGGTAGAGGCAGGAGGGGTAGAGGCAGGAGGGGTAGAGGCAGGCAGAGTAGCGGTGAGAGTTGCGAGGAGAGATTCTGAACTGGTTGATCGACTGACAGTGACAGAAGGAGAGGGGAGATTTACAAAGAAGGGAGGGGAGGAGGTGGAACAGGAGGAGGGTGATGATATGAAGAGTGAAGAGGAAGGAAGTAGTGAGGACAGGAGTAAGATGGAAGATGAGGGTTTCATGGAGGGGGGTGAAATATCTCCTGGTTGGAAAAGGGAGGCTGAAATCAATCCTGTGAAGGAGCAAGGCTGTGAAGGCAGGCTTGAGGGTGGGCGTGGGGATGGGGATGGGGATGGGGGTGGGCATATGATTGGCTACGAGATTGGGTATGGTATTGGGCGTGAGATTGGGTATGAGATAGGGTATGGGATAGGGCACGAGGTGAGGAGTTTGGGTGAGGGAGAGGAGGCGGAAGAGGTGGAGAGGAGGGGGGAAGAGGTGGAGCGGAAGGGGGAAGAGGTGGAGCGGAAGGGGGAAGAGGTGGAGCGGAAGGGGGAAGAGGTGGAGCGGAAGGGGGAAGAGGTGGAGCGGAAGGGGGAAGAGGTGGAGCGGAAGGGGGAAGAGGTGGAGCGGAAGGGGGAAGAGGTGGAGCGGAAGGGGGAAGAGGTGGAGCGGAAGGGGGAAGAGGTGGAGCGGAAGGGGGAAGAGGTGGAGCGGAAGGGGAAGAGGTGGAGCGGAAGGGGGAAGAGGTGGAGCGGAAGGGGGAAGAGGTGGAGAGGGGAGGGAGCGGGATAGATAACCGGGCTTCACATGGGCGTGAGATGGAGGGGAGAGAGAGAGAAGAGGTGGAGAAGCAAGATGGGGAGGGGGAGTCAGAAGAGGGTAACAGGAAGGAAGAAGAGCAGGAGAAGGAAGCCGAGGAGAGTAAGAAAGTATGTTTTTTGAGAATTCTCAAAAAACATACGCTAGAAGAGCAGGAGAAGGAAGCCGAGGAGAGAAAGAAGCCAGCAGAGCTGGGGAAGGAAGCTGAGGAGAGTAAGAAGCCAGCAGAGCTGGGGAAGGAGGCAGACAAGAGCAAGGGAGGTGAGGAGAGGAGGGTGGATGTTCGTGAGGGCGAGGAAGAGAAGGATGAGAGAGTAGAGGCTAGGGAAGAGGAGAGAGATGAAAGGGGAGAGGCAAGGGAAGAGGAGAAGGATGAGAGAGTAGAGGCTAGGGAAGAGGAGCAAGATGAGGAAGGAAGAGACGAAGAGGGGAGAGCTGCTGGTGGTGACAGGGACGGGGCTAGAGAGAGCAAGGAGTTGAATGAAGAGGGTGAGGAGGGCAAGGGGGTGGGTGAAGGGGGTGAGGAGGGCAAGGGGGTGGGTGAAGGGGGTGAGGAGGGCAAGGAGTTGGGTGAAGGGGGTGAGGAGGGCAAGGCGACGAACCCAGAAGGTGAGGAGGGAATGGAGTTGAATGAAGGGGGTGGGGGGGCCAAGGAGGTGAATGACACGGGTGAGGAGAAAAGGGAGGTGAATCTGGAAAGTGGGGATGTGAATGAAGGGGGTGAGGATGGCAAGATTAAGAATGAAGGGGATGAGGAGGCGAAAGAAATTAACATGGTGGATATAGCGGGTGAGGAGGGAAAGGATTTTAATGAAGGGGGTCGGGGGGGCAAGGAGGTGAATGAAATGAGCATGGTGGATATAACAAGTGAGGAGGAGAATGGAGGAGAGGAACAGGGGGGTAAAGACTGTGCTGGTGGTGGGAGAAGAATATACGGGAAAGGGAGAGAGGTCGATTGGGGAGGGAGAGTGGAGAAGGAAGAAGAAGGTGAGGGGGGAAAAGGAGAAGAAATGCATGTTGTGGGGGAAGCAGAGGGGGAAGCAGAGGGGGAAGCAGAGGGGGAAGCAGAGGGGGAAGCAGAGGGGGAAGCAGAGGGGGAAGCAGAGGGGGAAGCAGAGGTGGAAGCAGCGGAGAGAGCAGCGGAGGAAGCAGCGGCGGAGAGAGCAGCGGAGGAAGCAGTGGAGGAAGCCGTGGAGGAAGCAGCGGAGGAAGCAGCAGAGGAAGCAGCGGAGAAAGCAGCGGAGGAAGCAGTGGAGGAAGCCGTGGAGGAAGCAGCAGAGGAAGCAGCGGAGGAAGCAGTGGAGGAAGCAGTGGAGGAAGCAGTGGATGAAGCAGTGGAGGAAGCAGCGGAGGAAGCAACGGAGGAAGCAGTGGAGGAAGCAGTGGAGGAAGCAGTGGAGGAAGCAGTGGAGGAAGCAGTGGAGGAAGCAGTGGAGGAAGCAGTGGAGGAAGCAGCGGAGGAAGCAGCAGAGGAAGCAACGGAGGAAGCAGTGGAGGAAGCAGTGGAGGAAGCAATGGAGGAAGCAGTGGAGGAAGCAGTGGAGGAAGCAGCGGAGGAAGCAGCGGAGGAAGCAGCGGAGGAAGCAGCGGAGGAAGCCGTGGAGGAAGCAGCAGAGGAAGCAGCGGAGGAAGCAGTGGAGGAAGCAGTGGAGGAAGCAGTGGAGGAAGCAGTGGAGGAAGCAGCGGAGGAAGCAGTGGAGGAAGCCGTGGAGGAAGCAGTGGAGGAAGCAGCGGAGGAAGCAGCGGAGGAAGCAGCGGAGGAAGCAGCGGAGGAAGCAGCGGAGGAAGCAGCGGAGGAAGCAGCGGAGGAAGCAGTGGGGGAAGCAGTGGGAAGGAAGAGAAGGCGGCTTGATCAGAGTGTTGCTATTAGTTCTGATTGTGCCGGCCCACCAATCAAACCTGGCGCTGTTGCTTATGGTTCGGAAACTAGTCCTGGTGACCATGCGCGTCATGACGGTAGGCTTGGTAGAAATAGGCTCGGTGAGAATAGGCTCGGTGAGGATAGGACCGTCAGCAGCAGCCTCGGTGTTACCAGCAGCAGGCCTGTGCGAAAGGCAAGTCTTGGCAGGTTCGGGTTTGGCCGAACCAGGCTGGAAGAGGGGCTCAGGTTCGGGGAGGAAATGTCGCCGGTGCTGGTGCTTCACAGGCTCGGTAGCCATCCCAAGGCTCCCCGAAGCAAGCGTCCTCGGAAGTCCAGGTTCGGAAAAGAACCACAACAAACCTGCGAAGAATTGGGTACCGTGAGGAGGTCCGGCAGAGGTTCAGGGGGTCGCAAGAGGAAACGAAATAATAATTCTGGAGAACCCACTTCAGGCAATCGTGGAAAAGCTGCTGCTGACAGTAAGGGAGAGGCTTATAATGAGACTGAATCAGGAAGAGGGATGAGTGAGGGAGTGCTGGCACATGCAGCAGGGAGAATGGAAGGCGGGGAGGCAACAGGGAGAGGGGAAGAGGGAGAGGCAAGAGATGGCAAGAGAGTGAATGTTGGAGAGATGGAAGCAGTGACAGGAGACGGTGTTCGATCCATATTTGTCAACGCCCGCATGGGCCCTCTTGATTCCAGTCCGCCTGCTGCCTTGGCCTTGGAACACCGCTCTCCCCTTCCTCTGCCCCTGTTGGTCCCTCCTTCTTCCCGCCCTCTGCCCCTGTCTGCCCCTTCTTCCCGCCCTCTGCCCCTGTCTGCCCCTTCTTCCCGCCCTCTGCCCCTGTCTGCCCCTTCTCCCCGCCCTCGCCTCCTGGTGCTCCCCTCACTCGTTTCTCTGCCACTGCCTCGTCCTCTTGCTCACCCCACTCCTCCTCCTCCTGCTCCTCCTCCTGCTGCTTCTACAGATGCTACTGCTATTCCTGCCAGTCCTCCTCCTCCTCCTGCTGCTGCTGCTCCTGCTGCTTCTACAGATGTTGCTATTCCTGCCTCTCCTTTACCGCACTCCTCTCCATCCCTCCACTCCCCTTCGGCCCTCCACCCTCCTCCATCCCCCCACCCTCCTCCATCCCCCCACCCTCCTCCATCCCCCCACCCCCCTCCATCACCCACTCCTATCGCCCCTAGCTCGCCTCCTCCTCCTTCTCCCTCTCCTCCTGTGCCCACTCCATCAATCGCTGCTCTAACGGAAAGACACACTGTGACTGAAGACGGGGGTGACAGCAGTGAAGTCCGAACCTGTCCCTTCTGCCCCTCACTCTCCTGCTCTGCTGCCCACTCCATCAACCGCAACCGCTGCTGCTCCAAAGGAGGACAGTCACACTGTGACTGAAGAACGGGTGACAGCAGCGAAGGTCGAGCCACCTGCTGTGACTGCAGGCATTGAACCTGCCTCTGTGACTATAAGGGATGAGAAGGACGAGCCTGCTGGTGTGGCTGCAGTCCTTGAACCCTCTGCTGTGACTGTAAAGAGAGAGATCTCCGAGCCTGCCACTCTGACTGCTGACCGTGACCCCATCAATGTGACTGTAGAGGGTGAAAAGGATGAGCTGCCTGCTGTGACTGTACAGAGTGTGATGGATGAGGACAATGAGAAGGATGGAAAGGATGAGAGGGATGAACCTCCCGCGATGACTGCAGGCCTTGAACCGGGCGCTGTGACTGTAAGCGATGAGCTGCCTGCTGTGACTGAAAAGGATGAGCCAGCTGCCGTGACTGTAGAGAGTGTGATGGATGAGGCCAATGAGAAGGATGACAACGATATGAAGGATGAGAAGGATGAGAAGGATGAGCCGCTTGCAGTGACTGCAGCCCTTGAACCGTCCACTGTGACTGTAATGGATGAGAAGGACGAGCCTGCTGCTGTGACTGTAAGGGATGAGACGGATGAGCCGCCTGCAGTGCCTGCAAGCCTTGAGCCCGCCTCTGTGAATGTACAGGATGGGACGGACGGGCTGCCTGCTGTGACTGAAAAGGATGTGCCACCTGCTGTGACTGCAGAGGATGTGAAGGCTGAGACCATTGAAAAGGGCGAGCCTCCCGCTGTGTCTGCGGACTGTGATCCCACTGCTGTGAAGGATGAAAAGGATGAAAAGGATGAGAAGGATGAGAAGGATGAAAAGGATGAGAAGGATGAAAAGGATGAGAAGGATGAGAAGGATGAAAAGGATGAAAAGGATGAGAAGGATGAGAAGGATGAGTCACCTGCTGTGACGGATGAGCGCCCTCCTGTGGCTGTCAAGGATGTGCCACCTGCAGTGCCTCTAAAGTTTGCACCCTCCCCTGTGGTTGTAAAGGATGAAGCTGCTGACACCGATAACACACCTCCACTACCTGCCGCACGTTGCCGGCCATTTGCCGGGCGGCGCACGGTGGCCCACGGACTCATAATCAGATCGGGCGTCTCAGCAACAAAGAAGGAGAATCGCAACACTCTAACCACCGGCCAACCGGGCGGCGCACTGTGTCTTATGCCCCCCCTTGGAGTTCACTCACCTGCCGAACCTTCCAGGCTGCCTGGGCTTTCCGTCGCGGCCCTGGAGGATCGGAAGGACAAGGGTCGGAAGGATGACTCACCTGGTGCTTATGATGCCCTGCAGCAGCAGCAGACTGCATCCCCTGTGGTTCTTGCTGCTACCAGGGTTGCACAAGACCCTGGTGTTTCACCTGAGTCTCTGTTGCAACCTGGTGATTTACCTGAGGGTCAGATTCGCCATGAAGAGCAGCCAGGCTGTCAGGAGATTCCAGCAGAGGCAGCAGCTGAGGGAAGGACCGATGGCGTGGCAGAAGGGGGTCCTGCCACATCAGCAGCACCTGATTCGATCACACCTGCCATGTCAGCGGAGCCCGACAAATCGTCCATGTCAGCAGAGCTTGGCATGCCATCCTCGTCAGCAGACCCAGTCGCTGCTGACATGCCAGCAGAGCTGGTTGCTGCGTGCCTGGGAGCCAATCGCGTGCTCCGATCACGGAAAGCAGCGCCGCCAGCAGCAGCAGCAGCAGCAGCAGCAGGAGGAGGAGGAGCAGCAGAAGCAGGAGGAGCAAGAGGAGTAAAGGCGACTGCAGGAGTGAAGTCAGAAGTAGGATGCAAGGCAGGAGGAGATGCATTGAAGACACCACCACAACGGGGGTTGAAAGCATCACCACAGGGCCTGACGTGGTCACATGGAGTGAAGGGGAATCAAGGCCTTGCTCGATCACCCGCCCAAGCTAAGTCACAAGGGCGTAAAGGGGTGAGAGGTGTGAGAAAGGGGAGAGAGGGAACGGGGGAGAAGAGTGGATTGGGGAAGAGAAAGGTTGGGAAGGCTAAGGGGAGAGGGAGGGGTGCTAAGAGGAGGCGAAAGGATGACGAAAGTGAGGAGGAGGAGAGTGAGGAGGAGGATGAGGAGGATAGTGGGCAAGAGAGTGAGGAGGGAGGTGGAAGGGAAGAAACACAAGAGGAGCTCAGGGGGAGAAGGGCGGGAGGGTTGGCAAGGGGTTGGATGGAGGAGTGGGGAGGGAGGAGGAGGGAAGAGAGAAGAAGGTGAGGAGAGGGCGTGGTGGTAGCAAGGAGACACGTGATTGGGAGGAGGAGGAGGAGGGAGATGAAGGGAACAGGGAGAGTCACGGTGGTAACAAAAAGATTGTGGGGCAGGAATTGGGAGAAGGGGGATTGGTGGGGCCGGAGTATATGTGGCGCGATGGAGGGAAACAGTACCGGAGGAGAAAGCGGAGGTAAGCGCAGGAGAACTTCAAAGGCGGAGGTAAGTGCAGGAGAACTTGAAAGGCGGAGGTAAGTGCAGGAGAACTTGAAAGGTGGTTGGGCTTTAAGGAGTGTAGTGAGTGAGTGAGCAAACCCGCTCTTCAGGATGGGTGAGGGGAGGAAAAGGAGGATGGAGGGACTGCAGGGAATGAGCAAGTGAACTCCTTGGAGGAGCAAAACACACGCCCTCCACAAACAATGCAGGTAAGGAGGGTAACGTGGTAGTTGGGAAAGTTTAGGGGTGCAACTGCACCATCTGATACCTGTAGGATGTAGTGTGAGTGGAGTATACGGTACTGTAGATACACCACCGACCACTGAACAAGTTGTGGTCGGCTATCATTTTGGTGCAGTGCTGTGCTCGGTATTTTAGCCATAACTCTTTGGTACACATTATCTTGGTGCTTATCGAATCAGCATAGCCTTTCTACAGTGGAGCCTTAGCTACTTGTAATCCTGAACGTGCACAACACAACCAGCATCTGCATCAATCATCTGTATGACAGAACAGGAAAGAACCTACAGTCCCATCATTTCAGGAGATTCATGGGCAAAGGTCCCTCTAAAAGCAGCATCATTGGGAATAGAGCGTATGTTGCAGCCACAGGAGAGGAGATTATGTGGGTGAAGAAAATGTAGCTGGTTCTGGGGTACCATACCATGTGTCATGAATCAAATCCAATCTTTTATACTCCGATACATATACATATCAGCTGTTATGTCTTCAGAAGCCATGGGCCTGCAAGCTCAATGTGCGTCTGCCAGCTCAACATGGGTAAGTCGGTTCCACATGTGCCTCATCATAACCTGCAGTGAAAAGAAGGCGGGTAGCAGGTACGTACGATGTGACCCAGGGTGAGGCAGAGTGATGCGAAGTGATGCCGCGTGCAGTGCAGAGTGATGCACGGTGATGCAGGATGGTACAGGTGTGAATGCAGGGTGATTTATGGTAGTGCGGAGTGATGAAAGTTGAATCACGGTAATGCAGGGTGATACACAATAGTGCAGGGTGATGAACGGTGTGCCTGATAGAAGCTGGCGAGTAAACAACGAATCTGAGCTGGAAACACAGCAATTTCTCAATTGTTACCAGTCTCGTGTTACCTACTCGTTGCAAACCGGTCTCGTTATACGTCACCGTTACTAACCCATCTCAAACGCGTTACTGGCTGGCGGTGACGGTGAGCTCGCCCTTGTCCAGCGCGTTGTACAACTCCTCCGTCTTGCGCTTCTCGTTGATGTGACCCATCTTCCACAGCGACCCGCCTGCCACGCAGCAATGAAATCGCACGGGTATTACGTAAGTATGGCACTTAGGCGCCTCATAAATAGCTTTGGGTTGATGTGACCTATCTTCCACAGAGACCCGGCCACGCAGCAATGTTATGTCAGCAGGATTGCGTTAGCCTCGTAATAAGCTTCGCGTTAACGTGGCTCGCAGCGAGTGCCAGTTTACAAGTACAAAACGAGCACTCCGTGAAAAGTCCTCGCGAATCTTTCAAGGTTCGCGTCTCCATGCTTCAGAAACATTTTACACGAAGAAGTCCGACAAACTTCATGAATAGAAAACAAGACCGTTGAGCGATTCGAGAGTAAGGTCAGGACGCAAGGTAAGAATGTCGTGGAAATGCCAGGGAAGGGGTTGGTGCAGGGACGGCGCCATTGAGGAGGAATAAGCGACGCTGCTATACTGAGTACAAAGCGACGCTCATGTACGAAGTGATAAGTGACTCTGTTGTACAAGGTAATAAGCGACGACGGACCTACGGCACCGAGGCTAAGGCCAGCGGCGATCTCGAAAATGACGCTCGGGCCGCCCTTCTTGGCGACAGCCGCACCGTGAGCCGCGATCTTGTGAGCAGCACCCATGTCGGCGAGCGGCGAGATCTGGAGTGGAGAAAGGTGGATCGAACGTGAACGGTGGCGGGATTCGCGGCGAGTGTGGTAAGAAACGGCGACGGAGCTGGGTGTAGGTGTAGGTGGGAGCTGACCTTTGCGTTGTGACAATGGCGGGGGCCTGGGTGTGCTAAAAAGAGCAGGGTCGGAGTTCTCAAGGCGAGAAGTTCCCTGGGCGAAGAGTTCCCCTGGCGTGGAGTTTCCAAGGCTAGGGGCGCGTGTCTAACCTTTTGGTGTAGACGTTCGAAAATAGGGTCAAACCTTTTGCTGGTAACCCGTTTCAATATCCTCGCTAAAACTTTCGCGAGGGAATCGTGTGTCCTGGTTCAAACTGTGTGAAGGAAGTTGGACACTAAACTGAAGTCAATTGTGGATTTTAACGTTAACCTTTTCCCAATTGTGTGTTCTTTGACGCACGCCCAATTTTTTGCGAGGTTCACGACAATGACGAGGGAAAATGTATCGGGCTACCAATTTCGGTTCCGGTCACGAACTGCACCGCACAGCCGGGTAACCTACAGAAGTCAAGCGCGACTTGTAATCTGCTGTTTAAAGTTGAACTCTGATATTCGAACTTCGTTGTTCCATGCGCGACTCGGAATTGCTGACACTGCTCCTCGACCACGAAAAGTCAAGATGGTCGACCACAGGTCGACCAAGGTTCGAATGTGTAAATTCTAGGGTTTTTATACGGGCCGTCACAAAACATTTCGGAGTTATCACGAGCAGTCATATGTTCTGCCAAATCTATCACGGACAGTCACAAAATCTGCCAAATCTATCACGAACCGTCACACGGGTATCACCCGCCGTCACTCAAAGGCACTAATTTCTATCACGGGTAGTCACACTCGAACTTTGCTATCACAGATGAACCCTCTCATCATTTCGTTGACCCGCCCTGAAACACTGTACAGATTTAGGGACTATATTTCGGATTGCTGGCTTTTGTCCTGTATACGCGACCATTTGGGTGCAAAGATACCTAGTTACTTTCGAATCGACGTAACACACTTTTGTTTTAAAATTTTTATGAAAGAATTCGAACGCATATATGCATACATCGCTAGAGTTCACAATTCACTGAATCTGCCTACATGTTTATCAAAATGCTAAATAATCCATAGCTTGGAACGCAAATTTTATATTTCTTCATACAGATGATGATATAAATTGTGCGTTCCAAGTTATGGATTGTTTAGCATTTTGATAAACATGTAGGCAGATTCAGTGAATTGTGAACTCTTGCAATGTATACATATACCGTCACCCCCCGGATATAAGCGCCACCCTAGGATAAGCGTCTGGCGCTTCTAATTGGCATATGGCGCTTATATCCCCTGCTCGATTATAAGCGCACCCCCTGAAAAAAACTTGTTTTATTATAAGCGCACGTAAACTTATTTTTTTGAAATGTGTTCAAAACGCTTTAACGATTTCTACTTTAGCAGGCAGATGTTTTGCAGATTCGGTTCCCTTCACATTCGTGTGAAAAGAATGAACAGGAATGAAATGACTAAGTCAGAGTTGGGTACAAATACAACCCTAGAAAGCTGTACCCCATATGTGCTACCCCACTATAGCCTACAAACATGCATCAGCTATAATAATCGGACACACCCCCATAGGCAAAGTGGGGGAGAACAAGGGGTCACAAGACCAGTCAAGCAAAGCAAAGCAAAGCAAGCTCAGGGTGGATCACAAAGTCACCACACAGTCCGAGCACAAGAGCAGGGCCAGAGGCCAGTTCACATGCAGGAGTACAGACATATATATAAAACTAGACAAGCAAGAGTAGGTATATATATATGTCACAGTACAAGTGAAGTCAAGAGGAGAGCAAGTGAGGCAAGACAGGCACAAGACCCAGCTGGGTGCAAAAGCGCTGATGGTCACAAGGCGCGAGTGCCTTGGTGAACACATCAGCAGTGTTGGCCTCAGAGGCCACGTACGCAAGTCGCAACTGACCACGCTGCTGCAGCTCACGAGCAAGGAAGTAGCGGAGAGCAATGTGTTTCGTTCTGTGCTCCAAGCGCTGCTCTCGACACAAGGCCAGCATGGCCTTGTTGTCTACGTACAGCACTGGAGGAGAACGAGGCGGCTCTCCAAGGTCAGTCAGCAGGTAGGTGAGCCAGCGAAGCTCCTGTGCAGCCATGGCCCCGGCGTAGATCTCAGCCTCACAACTGGAGCCGAGAACCGAAGACGAGCGGGTAGACCGCCACGAGACAGAGCCGGAACCAAGGCTGAAGGTGTAACCCTGTGACGACCGCTGCGTAGCCTGGTCGTCAGCCCAAGAAGCGTCCGCGTGGCCGGTAAGGACCACTGGACTCCGCCCTCCAAGCACTAGCCCCATGCCTGACGTACTGCACAGGTAGCGCAATACCCTCTTCGCTGCAGCCATTTGCTCTGGTCTGTGTCTCCCAGGAGCAACATAGCGTGCAAGAATGCTCAGAGGGTATGCAAGGTCAGGTTGTGTGCAGGTCATCAGGTACATGAGGCAGCCAACAAGCTCTGCATACGGACCACTCGACTCTACGGACTCATCCGAAGGCAGAGCTGAGAGTGAGTGGCGAGTAGGCAGAGGAGTGGCCTGAGGCGAGGAGTACGTGAAGCCGAAGCGCTGAAGGACCTGCTGCACCATGTGTGACTGAGTCAAGGTAATGGTGCGGCGTGCTCTGTCCCGAGTGATCTGCAAGCCAAGGTAGCTGCGCAGTTCACCCAGGTCTGTGCACGTGTGTCTCTTCAGCAGCTCGGACTTCACGTAGGCGAGTCCAGCAGTGTCCGCTGTGGCAAAGACCAAGTCGTCGACGTACACGAGGATGTAGAACGGCGGCAGGGAAGTGTCGGTGCGAAGAAACAGCGACGGGTCAGCAGTAGAAGGAGCAAACC